GNATTAGCGAATCAAAGNAACACTCTAGGTAAGTTTTCGGTGAGGGAATAACATTGACATGATGTAAAGCTAAAAAGAAAATGCCGATTTAAAAAATAAATAAATGAATAAATAAATACCAGTCACTGAATACCTCACCCTCATACTGAAACATGGCAATGGCAGCATCATGTGGTGGGATGTTTTACCTCAGGAAGGCCGGTGAAGCTGATCCGTGTTGATGGGAAGATGAATGGATCTAAAGTCAGAACTAAAACCTGTCAGAGGCTGCAAAAGACCTGAGAGCGAAGGGAGGAGTCGCCTTCCAGGAAGACCTCAACCATTTGTAAAGAATTCTAATAGTTTTGAATTAGCAGCTGTGCATTAGTCTGTGTTTTTCTGTTTCATATCATCCCACATTACATGTGGTCGTAACGTGATAAGATGAGAGAAGTTCCAAAGGGAAGAATGTCCTTTGCAGTACATCACTTCCTGAGTGACTGTCCACTTTAGGGCCAACATTAAAACCTTTTCATGTCTGCTGCTGGTCATCAACTGGTCAACTGGTTCCTACAGTTTGGCCTGAGTGTATTTATCTCCACATGTTGCACTTGAGTTGACAAACTTTACTCACCATGCAGATAGAAGGTGAGGAAGGAACATTTGGGACTGGACCTGTAATAGTAGCCGGCGTGTTTTCCTTTACAGCTTCTCAGTTACAGAGCCGTGTCCAAACATGGATGCCAACATTCCCCGACAAATCACCAAGGAGACTCACCTCTGCAAAGGAATCCATGGCCAGGAAGACCGGGGGGTCTGCCTCTGTGGAGACAATGTGATCGGTGAAGGAGCATCAGATCGCACACAGCAGGCTGCACAGAGAGGCCAGAGATGCCTGGCTACCGTGTTAGACCATGAAGTAATGAAGACAAAAGTATAAAGAGAAGGTGAAGACAGCCAGGAGAAGGAACAGGAAGAATGGAGCAAAGAGTTTGGTGAGGACCTCCTGTCCTCCGGACAGCTGGGTCCGAGTGCCTGGGAGAGACTGGGGTCTAAATCTGGACTGAGGGGTGGGAGACCTGTGGCATTTACAGAGGGGGAGGGAGGGGAAGTGGGAGTGTGTAAGCAGGGGCTGACAGAGATTCTACATGCTCGTTTAATTGCAAATCAGATGGGACATCTTCATCTGTCAGCAGTAATCGCTTGCTTGTTGTAAGTTAAACCATTGAAATGCATCTGAATGAACAGGATGTGGCTTTAAACAGAGGACAGGCTGGTGGACGGGTGGGTGGTCCCATCAGGAACGCTGGTGGCACAGAGATCACACACACACACACGCACACACACGGATGTTTGTGTTGCTATCTTTGTGGGGACTTTCCATTGACTTCCATTCATTTCTACAGCCTAAACCTTACCTTTACCCTTTTCTTAACCCTAACCCTATCCATCACATACCTAACCCTAACCCTAACCAAAACTCAATTCATACCTTAGCCCTAACTCTGACCCCTGCCCCAAAAACAGGGTTTCCCCTCGTGGGGACCAGGCTCCGGTCCCCACGAGGAGCAATTGGTCCCCACAACGTAGCATATGTCAGGAAAATCGTCCCCACAAGGTATTACAAACAAACGCACACACACACACACACACACACGTTTTGGGTTTGTTTGCCTAAATGGACAGAAGAAGCTCATTGAGCTGGAGGTGTAATGTGCAGAATGTCTCCAGGTACACAGCCGCTCTAAACAGAGGAGTTTATTAAACTGTCATGTATCTATTGTCACAAGTCTGGAATTGGAAATAATTGTTTAATTTTTTTATCATCACAACACACAAATCTTAGCAAAACCTCCATAGAGTGGTTGCAAGTTGTTCAGAATGCTGCTGCTGCCTGGCTTGTGACAAAATTCCCCAAGTTTCCACACGTTACTCCGATCTTGACGAAGCTACGCTGTTTACTTTGGTATGAAATTTAAGATTATTGTATTGATTTGGAGAACTCTTCATGGACAGGAATCAGGTTGTATCAGTGGGTCCCTGACTGGTCCCTTTGATCAGGGCCTGCTGATGGTTCCCTGTCCTGTGCAAGGCGGTTTTTACCTCCACAGCTGGACACTGAAGTTTAGAGGACTTTTCTAATGTTATCAAGCTAAAGTGAGGTGAATAATTAAGTATTTGTTTCAGGTGTTGATGCATCTTCCCAAGCAGAAAGATTTAGAACTTTTTTATTTTTTAAATAGAAATGGCAATAAACTCAATGACTTGACCAGCAGTCAACATCTCGGTCCATTTCAAAGTGTTCTAATATGAATCCCAGGTTTTGCTTTCTGTCAGCAGAATATTGTTCTGCCTCAAATAACCAAATCTGAGGAGCTGTAGCTAAGTTTTGAGTGATTATATCTTTACAAGAAAAAAAAAACAAGCAGAAAAGATGATTAAAGCAGAGATGGATGAGCAACCAGAGCAAGAGACCAAGACAGATTTGCATCACGTCAGTCAGACTCTTTGCATGTTTCTGCTGGTCTAAACAGAAATCTTCCAGGGGATAAATAAGGTGCTTTGCTATAAGCTTGGGAATTTGTGCAGCCATTTTTTTCTGCACAATGGATATAGTTGCAGTTAAAATAGCTTTTGTAAAAAAAAAGATATTTTAAAAAAAACAACATAAATCTGTTGCAAACGGTGGTGTATCACTTAACCAGATATTCACCTTCTCTGTATAAAAAAACACATAACCTTTTTTTATTTCTTGCCATCTGGCAATAAGTTGGGCTAAATGTTTCTGTTTTAGGTCATTTAGGATTACAAACATAATTTCTGTTTGCTAAATGGCCTCTGATTAATGAGACAGACTGTATTCTACAAAATAAACTTCTAAATATGAAAGGAAAAAAGTTGAAGCTGAACGTAAACTGCTATCTGTGCAGAGAATGAGTTGTTCTCTTGCAGCAGCTCAGTGCTGCTATAAATAGTTAATGCTCAGTGTAACCTGAACGTCTCGCACAGCAGGGGCCTTAAAGCTGCACTGCAACCGTTTCAGTTTCTTTTATGGAGGAACTGGTTTAGAATGAACTCAGTTCAGAGGTTACAACGCATTCATTATTTTTAATTAAATCATATCAAAAACTAGATCTCAGACATGCCGTGGTTTTCTGGTTTCAATCTAAACAAGCTGCTCACATCTCAGCTTGGTTAGATTGAAGAGCCTGTAACTTTCTCGGGTCACTTCCTGTTTGCAGTTCATTTCAGCTTTAGTCTTTTCAAACTGCAGCAGCTGATGAGCAAAAGCCTCAGCAGTCCAACAAGCTTCAGAGTTTCAAACAGTTTACAGCTGAAGTCCATCTCCTCTGATGAAAATCCACCACCATTCCTCCTGAGACGTGGCAGAAAGACGCTCCCGTCACTGCACGGCTTGCTCGGCGTTTGGTGTGAGGTCAGGGCTTCTGGACAACCGCAACGACGACATCGCTCCGAGAAAAGCATCGAGGACAGACGGAAATTCTGCAGGAATTACAAGAAGACGGCTCTGTAACGAGTTCTCCCTTGCAGAGATGAAAAGGTCTCTGGGTTTACAGCAGCAAATACAGAGCGGGACTGAAACGTTGTCCCGCTGATGCACGGATCGTCTGGTGATCGTCTCCACTCTCACCAGCCTGGTGCTCCACGGTGTCGCGTGGATAAGGGATGACAAACTGGCTTAAAGATCACTTGATCGTTAGGAGTCCCAGTCAAAACATTCCTCAGTTCACCGAGAACAGAAGCCAGTAAACTGATCAACGAGACGAGAACAGAACATCCGTCTGGGCTTGTTCCTCAGGTTAACAAGGTTGGAGATGATGAAGTTCAAATTACAAGAAGGTCATTTTGTATTTTTTTTACGGGAGTGTTCAAATCAAATATTTCTTTTAGTCTTGCAACGCCAAAATCTAAACAAAACAGAATGCTAGATTCCGGTGAAATAGATATTTTAAAAATGTTTAAATAAATGATCCACATATTAAAATTGTATGTCTAATAACTTTTATTTGCTCCATGTCAACCTGAGCATTTAAAACATCCTTGAACAAAGACCGGTGGATTAAAAGATCCAGAGGTGCTTCTGTGAATGCAAACAACAGAGAATGCCTCAGTATGGGGACACTGCTGTCACACAGAGGCTTAAGGCATGTTCAGTAAACCAGCAGCAGCTTCTCTGCAGACAGCTGGGGATGGACATGTTTTCAATGGGATTTATTACACAAGTCAGACTTTACAAAGTACCTGCAAGCAGAGTTCCTAACCAAGTCAAATGTTTACAGTAAAATAGCCGTTTCTCTCATAAATATGCTCCGCCTTATAACTTTTATTCTATTTTGTTCTGAGGAAGTCAAGGACGCCACACTTGTCGAATGAAACGTGTGGTCCTGGTCCCAGCCTGGGGAAGCACCGACTTTACCCATCAGATTTCAGCAAGCAGTTTCAAAATAAGCAAGTAACTATTAATTAAGCAACAATTCACTCATGTTTCATCGTCTTTCTAATCTTTCTGTAATGACACACAAGGCACAACTCTAAGGCATGTGATGTTAGCACTCTGCTCCATAAAAACCTGCCAAAACCGATGATGCTCTGTGCAGCAGGACCCCTGGTGGTCGTTATGCGCAGCTACACATCAACGTCAAATCACAGTCTAATCACTGCCAATTGGTTTTTGTTCTGAGATGACTGATGTCAAACTATGCATATTAAACACTGTTCTACTGAAGAGACCAGTGAAAAGAGGAACATTAGTTTAGCAGCTGTGTACAAACAGGGTTAAAAAACAAACTTCTGGAAAATACTATATATTAAATCGGCAAACACAATACAGAAACACAGAGCGCTTTTCAGCTTTGTGCATCCTTGATTTTGTGGCAGGAAGCCCACTTCTTGTCTTTTGCATTGGAAAATCCCAGCTGCCTCCCACAGCAGCCGGGTAATGACCCTGAAATACTTGAACTACAGCATTTACTTGCTCTCATCACCATAACAGAGGTAGAACGTTAGTCCGACTGAAACCTGTTAAGAAGGAATACATGAAGCTCAAACAAACTTCCACTCAAGCAACTTGGAAACATGCGAGATGAAAACAGCTTCGGTTAGGCTTCAGCTGAGAGCAGCCCTTCAAAAAGCCTTGGACACTTTGATTCTGTGTTGTGAACAGGACCCTGCAGCCTGACTCCTGGGGAGGCAGTGAGGATCAGCACCGCATCAGCCTGGAGGGAAAAAAAGGTTCAGCTGGTGTGATGCATGCAGCAGCTCAGAGTTATCACAGTGAATTCTTGTTCTGAGCCGACAGAGCTGCACAGAACCTCAACGCAGCCTGATGAGCTCGTTTCCATGCCTATGTTTGACATGCCTACTGAAATAAATCTCGCATTACATCCCGTTCTGCTATCAAAGTTCCTCCTTAGAAGCAAAACCCAGCACTGCAACAGACTGAGACCGTGGCAACCTGACAGGCCCGGGCGAGTCGCAGAGGTGCAGACAGAAGGGACGCATCAGGGCCTCTGGGTGTGTCCAGCTTTCAGGACAGGACACAAAAGCTGACACGACGACCTTTCATCACCAGAGCAAACGGGGGCAGGGGCCACTCTTTGGGGGTCCCCTGGAAAAATGTCCAAAAAAAAAAAATTAAGTAAAAGCTTCTCTGCTTCAATTTAGCAGAAATTTCAAGATCGATTTTCTAAAGGCCACAGAAGCAGCTGCTGTTTGTCCCTCTGACGGTCCAGTTAAAGTAAACCTGAACAGAGTCCTTCGTTCTTTTAGCTCCAGAGAGTTTGGAGGACTCTGTGGTACCCAGTTTCTGTGTCAGTTCTGGTCCCAGATATCATCAGAAGGAGGAAAAGTGCTGAGGCAGCAGGTTCTGAATGGGGGTGGGCTGAGGGCTGGAACAGGCACTGCTGCACACACTGGACCCTGTACTCTGGGAGCTGAGCAGGCTGGAGACAGACGGCGACTCTGGGTCTGAACAGTCGCCATCAGAGGCGTTATGATGGCTGACCACCACCCTGAAACACAACACAACACACACACAAAGAGACAACAGCGTCAGGACTGTCTGCAAGTCAAACACGTACGGGAAAGGATTAGGGCCACCGGAGAAAAGAAAAAGAATTAATTCTGACTTTTTAATTTTGACTTTAATCTTTCAAAACCAAAAGTCAGAATTCTGAGACTCAAGTCGGCTTGTTTTCCACTCTGTGGCCCTAATCCACTTCCATAAACATGACTCTGTCAGATTACATAATTAATAACTGCTGGTTTTACGGAGAGCTTTTATTTCACAGGTATGTCTGAGTACCAATGTATGTAGGCACATTAATGCAAAATTGAGTGTACGGAAAAAGGGCAGCATCTCAAGGCTGCATGGATAACTGCAGCCTTGAGATGCATCATGGAGGTCTAGATGCTGACAGTGTCCTCTATGAGGGTCACCATCAGACCTGGTCAATGTCAGAAAAATGCTGGAAATGTTTCCACCAGTAAAGCAAATATTAAACTGCATGTCTAAAGTCATAATGGACTAATCAGGAAGACAATAACTGAAGTGAGTCAGTTTTTGTTTTTATCTCCGAAAGGTTAAATGTCAGTGTTCTAATGTTGAAAATATTTTTTGACAACTTCATGGTAGAGGAGCTGCATTGCTTGGATTGGTTTCCATGGCGCTGTGGCCGTTTACCTGGATCTGGATGGACTCGCCACACCTGGTTTCTGGGCTTCCGTCCTCGACTTGCAGCGACTCTTGGACCACTGCACACAAACAACCAAAAAAAGAGACGGACGTTTAACATCTGCAGCTCTCAGCGAGGCTTCTTCCCTCTTGGTTCCACCTTCTCAGTTTCTGTTTATCTGCTCTATTCTGATACTACAGCACTGTTTAAAAATAAAATAAAAATAAAAAATGAGGGAAAGAAAAGACAAACCTGCAGCTCAGTCATTGTGGCTTCAGATCTATAGAGCCCAACTAAATACAGCAACTTAAATAAAAAAATGTTCTTTTACATATTTGTTGAAACTGACACTTTGTAGTAAGAGTATGGTATAAGACAGACAATCTGTGAAAAGATGGAGCTCCTCTGCTTTCTCCCAGTTCTCCCAGTGACATTGGTCGCAACATTCTACAGCTTTAAGGAAGCTTTCTGTGAAGATCAATTATTATTAGTATTAATGTTGGGACCAATGTCACCATATGTGAGAGGGCAGCTGGTGTTACACCGCTCTGCAGGATGCAATGGCCACTGGCAGGGCCGGCCCGGGAGCTTCTCACCATGTGAGCGGAGTCACTGCTCCCCAGATGGATTCCTTTCTGACAGAGAAGCCTCAGAAAACTGATGCCTGCACACAACACACAAAAAAAACACAATTTCACCAGGTTACGTCGCTGCTAAAAAATAACTTTTTTTCCCCATGCAAGTACTTTAGTTAGACCATGGAGAGAAACACAATGCTCACTGTGTCTGGGCCGCCACTTTATAAAACATTCTAAAAAACAAGACCGCAGGTTTTCTCATCTAGCAAGACAGATGCAGCTCAAACAATTCTAATCGAATGTTTCTTCACCGTAGAGCACTAAGCGTCCTGCCGGAAAACGGAGCTTATTTTGCCTGGGCTCTCACATTTGGTCCGGTCATTGCAGTGCTTCTGCTCCCACTGATCCAGCAGAATGTTGAGGTATCTGGGACACTCAAAGAAGCGAAGGTAGCGTGATGAAGACTGCGATGGGAAAATGCGCTCAAACTCTCCTCGTCGATTCAATTCGTCTTCGCTCTCGGCCAGCACGCGGACATCCTCAGGAGTCAAAATGTCCAACACTGATGATAGGAAGTCCTTTATGAGGAGGGAGGAGACAAACAAGTTAAAAACTAATTTTTGTCTTTGTGAGGAGAGAAAACAGAAAAACTAGCAACATTGTGCATGTAGTTTCTTTCAAATGTTCTCTAGTAAAAGCACTTATTGAAAGCAGGTGATGTTATTTTATCAGTAGACTCACCTGCTGTAACAGAGCTGTGTGCATGTGTTTGTTTACCTGGTCAGCATAGCGCTGTGCAAGGAAAAAGGCTCGTTTTACTTTCTCATCAGCAGACAGATCAGATTTGCTCTTTCCTTTGTTCCCTCCATGCAAACTACAAAACAGAGACACTAATTTTAATCTTTTTCCTGAGAATTGCATGAAAAAAAAAAAGAAGGTAACCAAGGCAATCCCTTTTTTCATCTCAAATACAGAATCCCAGCGATAGAAACCGAGGTGTAGAAGCTCCTCCCTACCTGCTGGTGGAGCTGGAGGCACTGCTGCAGGAGGACACCACTTCTTCTTTCGGGGGAATCTTGAAGCCGGCCAAGTTTAGGAGGTCTCTGATCATCTGGCCTTTAATGGAAACATCCAGGGCAGAGTTGGAGTGGAGGCTGGAGGACAGAGAGCAGAGCTACAGACGCGCCTCTACACCCTTTCATCTGACAGCAGGTGCAGCGGTCTGCATGTCACCTGGGTGATATGTTGACCTCCAGGATCCAGGGTTTGAGGTTCTCGTCCAGCATGATGTCGAAGCCAAACAGCTCGTGGCAGCTGTGAGGCGTTTTCACGTGCATCTTCAGCAGGGTGTTCACATATGGCTCAGAACTGAGAAGCAAACACAGAAATGAAGAAACTTGTTTGATTCTAGCATCGTTTTAGCTTTCCACACAAACACGGTGTTTGGTCTATGAACAAGTCTGGGACAGATACTGTGGCTTTGACTGATGAAGCCAAAGTGATGTTGGAACAATGCTCTGTGTAGGACCTGGACTGCATTTTTAGTTCAAAGTGTAAAAGTGTTTGACAACTCAGAACTCACTGGCTGAGGTTCTTTAAAAACAGTTTTCAGATACAGTTGTGTTCAGAATAATGACAATGTGTTAAAAAAAACATACTTGGCTGATTCTTTATGAGTTTATTCATTCTTCTTCATTTGGAACAGAAGGTTTCATCATTCTCTGCATTCTTTGTGTTTCCCCCTTCATCAACATTAAAAGCTATGTTCAACTCCTGAATTTCACTCTGACGTTCTCTAAACCAACATGTCCATCATAAGATGCCCTTCTCCTTATACACGAACCGCCTGCTTGAATTCTGTTTGCTCCCACAATAAATGAGCCCTGGGTTTATTTGGAACACACTCTGTGCAAACCATGATTCAACTATGCTGAATCAGCATGATGCACATCGTCATTGTCGGTTTCCTGTTGCTCTACTATACCTACTGCTAAATTATTAGCCATGTAGAAATGTCACTTCTTCTAAATCTGATCTAGTTAGGGTGGATGGAATACACTTGTTTTAAACACAACTAAAAACTAAACCTTGTTTTTATTGATGTGTGATGTTAAATGTTCTTTTTATTCATTAAACACTTTAGAGTCTAACGTGGAAACTAATTTGATCTTTGAAACATCTGCTAACTTTGTGAAAATTTTGTAGTTCCCCTCCCCCCCAAAAACATTGTCATTCTCATAAATCCTATAAAATGTATTGCATCCTGAGCTGAATGTGTCATTAGACCTCGATAAGTGTGTTTGTGACAGATCACCAGGATCTGTAAAGAAAGTTCTCAGTAAATGGAACAGTGAACTTACGCTATAATAGTTTTGATCACAATGTCTTTAATCTTCTCCCATATCAGGTCGGTGTTGATGCCTTTAGAGCCAAGGAAGTGCCACAGAGCCTTCAAAGCCCTGAAAAGACGCAACAGAAAAACATTTGACTTTAATATTAACAAAACGGAAAAGAAGCTGTGTTTTATTGGCTGAACGTCACAGCAGATCAGGAAAACACAGAGCAGGGATCATGTTGCTAAATGACGCGATGATAATGTTTTTTGACACTTCTTCATCAAAACGTATACAGCACCATTTCTGAGCTCTGGCATCTTTGCGATTATTAAAATATTCATTGTACGCGAGAATCGAGGGCAGAGAGAATCCAGCCAAACAGGACACATGTGTAACTGACATGCAGAATTTTTATGCACAACTTACAAAAAAAATAAAAAAAATCCCACCAAATACTTCATTCAAGTATCCTCTGTGATTGTGACGCGTACCATTTGTGTCCCTGGCAGGCCTTGTCATCACTGTTTGTCTGGTACTCAGAGTTCTTCTTGTTCACGCTGTAGTTGGTCAGGTGCATGAACTTGTTGTTTAGGGTCTTCATGGAAGATGAATACCTGCAGAGAAACAGAACCTCTGCCTCAGTGGGGATCAGTGCCAGTCCACATAACCCCACAGGATGTTGTTCATTCTCACTTGCAGCTGGCGAAGCGGACCAGTCCGTCAGAGAACAGGTAAATTCGGAGCGGCTCGTAGGATGTCACGTAGACGTAGATCCGCAAGTCAAACTTGTTCCCGCCAATGAGGTAGGGTTTGTGAAGGTACCTGCAGATAAGGAAGCAGAGGGAAATGTTTCCATACACATACTGACAGTGAGCTTTGGTCAGATCTGTGCTGCTTACTTCTGCACCAGCAGTGGTCTCCTGCGGGGCAGCTGACTCCATTTGTGGATGACCTGGATCCCCATTCCTCTGGCTGATGCAGGCTGGGAGACAAAAGAACAAGATTAAGGAAAAAGAACAAGTTTTTCAAGCTACACTTGATGAAGCTACACTTTTTTATTAAAAAATAAATAAATAAATGAAAGATACAGTTCACATAAAATCAGAAAGGTGCAGAACGTACAGGTTTGATGATCCACTTCTTCTTGGAGCCACTATCTTCCCATGCCTTCCGCAGCAGTTTGATATCCTGAGGAAGAATGAACGTCTTTGGGAAAAAGTTAAACTCCTGCTTGCCAAAGCGATGCTGCATCTTGGACAGATTCCTCCAAAGTCGGTCCTTCCTGCCAATCTGAAAGGTTCCTGGAAAGTGGTTCAACTGCAAAAAAATAAAAAAAGAACAACCACACGTTCAATCTGGAAACTGCAGGAACGTTGGCTGGAGTGTGTGTGCGTGTGTGTGTATGCAGATACTCGCCTTCTGGTGCTCGCCGATGGCCTTAAAGCCAGGAGATTTCATGTGGTGTCCCCAGCAGCCCAGCCAGTTGTTGCTCTCTGGATTAGCAACACAATTCACTCACAAAGCGTGACTAAACAGATTCCCATCTCACCGTCTGAAAGGTGTTCAGGTTTTGGTGTGTGATGACTCACTCTTGGTGGCTTTGAAGTGTGACCTAGCGATGGTGTGCTTGACGATGTTGGGGGTAACGGAGCTCATCTTCCATTTGAGTAGGCGTCTCTGTTCGGCAGGCAGCAGCTCCACTGCAGAACACCAGACATAAGATCAGCTGGTAAAGAGCATCTACTGGTTCTAAATTACAGAGGAGTCACTCCTGACCTTTCTCATTGGCTGTGCTGAAGTAGAGTGTGGGGCGCATGAGGGGAAAAAGGCTGGGTACAAGCGCTGGTCGCTCCTCTCGATCATCCTCTGCCCCCAACACCATCGGCTCTTCAATACTGAACAGGAAGGGATGATGGGAGAAATGAGAAGAGTTGAGCAGGTTGAAGATTCACAGGTTTGGTCTGACTGCTCTCCACTGCTCTCCACAGAAAGACTAAAGAATCCAACCATAATTCCAAAAAAGTTTGGATGTGATCAAAGGCTAACTGAAGAGGTAATAAAAGGAAAAAAAAAATCCACTGACTTCACTTATCTGCCCTCACACTCACATGAACTTGAGACTTCCCGTTCTTACGCCATAAAGTCCCACTCTTTACAGCAACACAGCTTCAGCTCTTGTAGGAAGGCTATCCACAGGGCCGAGGAGTGGAGGGAGACGATGGGAGTTTTTGACCAATCAACATTTGTAAGATCAGAGAGTGATGCTGGATAAGAAGATCCTGCTCTAATTCACTCCAGATCGGGAATTTATGCAAGACTAGTCAGACATGAAACTCATTCATCCATGTCTTTATGGACCTTGGTCTGCAAACCTGAGCACAGCCATGTTGGAATAGAGAAGGACATCCCTAAATTGTTACTGGTCTGTATGCCTATGTGGGTTTTACACAACTGTGATCATGGACATGATCACAACACTTGAATTTAGTGTTTTGGATGGTTCACCCAGGACTTCTGGCAACAGTGTTAACACAGAGTTATTTTTAAATGAGTGGCATCGCTGACGATGATTACATTTCTGTTTTCTGAGAATTGTTGCTTCATTTTTGTGGGATAATCCAGGACTCCAGCAGAAGGACAACAAATCAATGACAATATATATCACAATAGACATGATCAATATCAATAGATAACACCATTGACAGAATATTTTATTTCACTGAAATCTAATCCAGAACCACACAGCATTCTGGGAGATGTAGGCTTAATCTCTCACAACCAGAAAAGCAAGGTGTGTGACATCAACTAACTCAGTCTTTGGTTACCTAGCAACAGCCTGTTGGTTGCACAGCAGCTTAAGGTTTCCCCCACCGTGCCTCAAAACAGCATAAAAATAAACAATAGCATGTGGATAAAACAGGAAAGGTCACATCACCAGCTTGGTGTTATTTCAAATATTAAAAGAAAGTAAAAAAAAAAAAAAAACACTAATCAATAATTATCTATATTGACTTATATTATGATGCGTTTTTCAGCGCTAGGGAGGAAGACGAGCTATCTAACAGAGAAAAGTGGAAGAAAATGTGACCAAAACCAACAGAAACCATGAATTGTAATTGTAGATTTCCAGTGATCCACAGAGAGACAGCAGTGTAACTCAGAGCTTCAGAAAAACCTCTGATTCGATATGTGCAGCCAAAGAAGAACAAACAGCACAGTGGATAGCATTATTTAACATTATAAAATGTAGATTTATCAACGGGCTCAAAACAGTGGAGCTTGTAATTAACACAGCAAACCACAACGTGAGCAGATTAAAGAGTAATGCAGCCACAGGCGAACTCAGTGACATTTAACTAACACTATCAGGTCACAGATTCATTTTGTAACACAAGGTGCTCTACATGCGCGTAACATGATGCCAGGTAGGATTAGGTGGCAGAGGCCTTCACACACAAAGGACAGCAATTCTGATCTGACCTACAGTCATTTAGTGGAGTATTAATACCGGCTAAACTTCATTTCTTTAAGAACAACTACAGCTCAGAGATACTCACATGACAGTCATAGAAGACGAGATGAGATTTCCAGATTCAGCTAAACTTCTGACAGGTTACTTTGGAATTACAGACAGGCTTCTAGCTATATGGAATATAAACAGGTGGAGCTCTCAGGTGGAGATGTGGAGAGTTCAGGGTGTCAGTGAGCTCAGTGAATGAGCTGAGGAACAAACCAGTTGGGGAAGGAAACAATAGTGCTCCTGATCTGGGTTGTTTTAGCAGAGAATCAGCTGTCCAGAGACAATACAGCAGAGCTTTCCACCATCATCTGCTGCTTTCAGCCTGTCCAACAACAAACTGAGAGGACAACAGGGAGACCAGATCAGCTGGGCAGATGTTTGAGGGCCAGGAGGACCAATCAGCTTCCTTTCTAAGTGACGGCAAAAGGAAGATGCTGAATATTTTGCTTGTTTCTGAAGAAACAAAAACCTTTGTGAGCACATATGAATTTGAATTTATTATCAGGGATCAGGACCTTTAAACTTTTTCAGATGTTTGTCACATTTCAAGCAAAGTATTTTAATGAGATAAAATATATTCATGTCTTTCATCGTCTGTAAATGGTTCTCTTTCAGGATTCCTTATGTTCATTAACTCTGACCAGATTACCTGTTCAGCTAAAGAGAAGCATCCCCACAGAATGCTGCTGCCACCGTCTGGCATGTGTCACCATGGGGACGACGTGTTCAGAGTAAAGTGGAGAGTCGTTCTTTTTAAAAAATACTCGAGTGTTTTACTTTCAGGCCTAAAAGCTCCGCTTGGGCTCATCTGAGCAGAGTAAACAACTTTATTGTTGTCTTCTTGTCACTCTTCCAGTAAGGCCAGACCTGTGGCGTGCATGACCAATCATTTTCCTGACTACAGATTCTTTAAAAACCTAACCCTAATCCTGCTACATGCTTCTCCACACCGTTCTGCCTGACCGGTCTGCTGGGGTTCTTGGTTGTCATGACGCTGGTTGCTCTCTAAAGGGCAGAGAGCTGTTCATCTGTTCGGCTGTTCATCTGAAGCCGAACAGCTGACTGCTGGTGGTTTTGGCACGTTCGTATTTGCACACACCTTTCATAACACGGCACGGACCACCTGGGCGACACCCTTCCTCTATCTGCATACATCCCGGCTCTACCAGCTACACTCTCCCTCCCTGAATCCTCAGTTTTCGGCCGACGTCACAGACAGAGCGGCACAATTTTCTGCAGGCGGCCTCCTTCGTGAACGACGACATTACAGTTTCCATCCAGGAGTTATTAACCATGTACAAGTTACTTAGTGAAGAATCTTAAAAATGTACATAATTCCTCATCGCACAAGATAAATGTTCCTAAAAGGCATCCATGTCTCCTGTGAATGCAGAAACCGGATAGTGGAAGTAGACTAGTTGAAAAGAAATATCAACGTTGCTGTCTGAGTGCATAAAGCACAGCAACAAACTTCTGACCTAGCAGACAATACTTCATACAGAGCTCTGTAGAAATAGTTTAACCAGGGTCTGGAGTCAAGTTTGCAATTTTCATCATGCATCTGCGTCAATGAGAACCGATTTCAATACTTTGTATGAAGTACGTTAGGGCCATAAGGGTCTAACACACCTGTTAGGGAGCATGGTGTCAGTTAAGTATTGGTTAGGGTTGGGAATATACTAGTAATGGTTAGGGTTATAGTTAGGATAAGGGCCTGAAAGCAATAGTCTTCAGTGTATTATAAGCCTGGCGATTCACCAGGCTTTACTTGTCCCCCCACCAGGCTAAGCATTGCTTATTTATTCAAGTTTTTTTTTTAATATATGCATTTTTTAAGAATTTACAGTTGGTGTTCAGGTATTAATCTTCCAAAACCACACAGCTATCAAATGATATTTCAAGTTTCCTGTCAACTTTAAAACAATTTTAACTCAAAAACACGGTGGCCCGCTGGATGAATTGCTGCCCTAGTGCCCATCCACCAGGCTTAGCAAGTTTTCTGGGGGAAACCTTGGTCTTTACAAAGCACTCAGAACAAGAGAAGTACTAGGATGTGTGTGTGTGTGTGTGTGTGTGTGTGTGTGTGTGTGTGTGTGTGTGAGTGCATGCGTTACCTAGAGATGCAAGGAATTGATGTATCAGAAGAAGAAGAACGAATGATGGAATAACATTCTGAATCATCTGAAAATGGAAACAGAGAAAATTATTATGTCTCATCTCCATATTGTCCAGAGTTCCAGTTGAGTAGAAAATCTGGATTTACCATCAGTAAACCTCATCATGCAGGTTCAGCCCACGGAAGAGCTTTCGTGCTCGCCTTGTAGTCAGGCATCACGCTGGCTTTATATTACCTTTAGCATTATTTTTCTGGTTACACGATGCATCCAACCATACCAAATGCTTTGTCTACTTCGTCAGCCAGAGTCAGTGAGCGTGGCCGCGTAGTTTCTGTGACGCTTATTAAAAATTCAACAGACACGAAATGGAAGAGCTACTAAAGCCACATTAGCAGCATTGAATTAAATCTCCCGTTTGTTGCTCATCTCTGCACAGTGTAGCGGATTTAACTCATCATAGGGCCGGTCCAAGGCTGTATGAGGCCTGGAGCAGAATTTGACTTGGGGGCCCTTCTAGCTCCTAAAAACATCAGCACTAAGATTTTAGTGAAATCTGGGAGAAGGGAGTAGTTTAATTGGTCAACCTAAAAATCAATCACTTACAACTGCAGTTTAGTAATTTGTATTTGTGAACAAACAGAGCTTAAACTTAAAGATTAAACTCATAGCATCAGATTGTAGCTATGGTAACAAAACAATCTAACTATGAATAATGTTCTTTGAAGTTTTACAAAGTAAACTTGCCAGCTCCTTAAAATCTTGTATTTAAATATTAAACCATTTAAAATAAATTTATGTATGCCTAAACAATTGAATAAAATTTAACAGCATTGATAATCTCAATAAACAAGTATTACATTTGTATCTGTGGTCTGTTTTAATATATTAGCATTTATGGGGCCCCTGAAGCTCTTGGGGGCCTGATGGAGCCTCTGACTTAATTTGGATTAAACAGAAGTGCAAATTTGTTGTTTTTAGACTAGTTGTGGGTTTAAATAGCATTTCACTCGAGATCTTTTCCCATAACCTATAATTAAACAGTAATACTTTTACATTTCCTGTCAACTTAACATCTTTTAATACAAAAACACGGTTGACCACCGGTGGGCCGCCTCAATGCCCTGACCACCGGGCTTAGCAAGTTT